AGGCTTAAAATAAAGAATATTTCTTTTCTGATCAAGTTGTCCTGTATTAATTTTGTTTGTTTAAACTTTGAACCCTAAAAAAAAAAAAATCAATTGCCGATTTATTTATATATAAATCCTAATGTCAATTTATACAGTTGCATTTTATAGTTGTAACTCCATCAATAAATGTGTTTGGTTTGACATCAGGAATTTGAAAGCACAAGCCAAGAATTGCAACTAGGATTGTTTTATTTTAAAGACAACATAAATTGTACATTTATTTTATAAATTTAGCATTAGATTTTGTGTGTGGAGGGCTTGCTGGTATGTTTGCATCAACAGCTTGTCAGCCATTTGATGTTATACGAACCAGAATAGTTGCTCAGGATCAAGCATTAAAGGTAACTAATTTTATCTCTTGCACAATTAAAAAGAAAAAAAAAAATGTTATGATTACTTTTAAGGTTAGCATTATATTTCATCGATATGTCTGTATCTGTCTGTAGTGTCTGTATTTCATTGATATGTCTGTAGTAAGATTTCTTATTTAAACTTACTAATATTATGTTTAAATAAGAAAATTAGATTCTGTAAACCCATTATTTAAACATAACATTAAAAACTTATACAAGAATTCAACAGAGTTGTGTTTTTTTACACAGAGTTTTTATGTTCTAAGAAAGTGAAAAAAAATAAATATTATACTAAAAATGTTCAAAATGTGGCAATGCAATAAGGTAAAATATTGTTATTTAAAATTAAAAAGAAATCTTTTTTAAGAATATCAAATAAAAGATCATTAAGTTTTTTTATAAAGAGTTCCAAGGCTGCTGCAATTGAAGTGCTGCCTAGACTGCTTGCTGAAGTATATACTTAATTTTGTTGTTGACCACTTGTTTTATAGAAAAATTTAATAGCCCCCAAAAAAAAATATCTCAAACTTAAGTTATGATGGGGTTAATAATGATAGTAATGATGCACAATTCTTTTAGATAAATTTTTTTAAGCTCAATTGTATTTTTTTGAGTAGAAGAGACCAATCAAAAGTAAAGAAGTAAATCCAGATCTGATCGTCTTTTTTAGAATTTATTAAAGAAGAACTTTACACTGTATGGATGGAGCCAGGCAATAGGTTTTTATTTTACCTCAAAAATCAACTGAAGAAGAAAAGCATGCCATATTAGTTGCCAATCATTTAGTTGAATGGATGTTTTAACATGGTATTTACAAAGCAATACAAGTATTGGGCAGCAATTTGACAAATATTAATTACTAAATGTGAAGTTTTCTCTTTCATTGTTCTCCAAATTGTTCCAAGAGCTAAATATATATACTTCTTAATTAAAATGTATAATTTTTTGCTTTTTGTATTTTTTATATCATTTCATAATTAAAATAGTAATAATATATTTTCATATTTTTTTGCACTTTTTCTTTTAAAGTTTTAATAAGATCAGTCATTAAGATAATCAAACTATTTATAGTGTCAGATGTTGTTATCATATTCCGACACACAGACAGAATTTATTTTTCACTTGCACATTTTTTTTTAAGAAATAAAGGTATCAGTTAAATATATATATATATATATATATATACATATATATATATATATATATACATATATATATATATATACATATATATATATATATATATATATATATATATATATATATATATATATATATATATATATATATATATATATATATATATATATATATATATATATATATATATATATATATATATATATATATATATATATATATATATATATATAATAGATAGATAGATATATATATGTATGCACATATAAATATACACATAAAAATTAAATAATACACTTCAGGCAAAATGTCTGTCTGTATTGTAAAGAAGAATGCTCCCTCAAATCAGGGAAACTAAGATCATTGGGCTCTATAGACTTATGCTAAGATAAATGTATGTGATGGAAAGAAATTGAAGATGCTGGAATTATTATGTTAAGAATAAAAACTGTATACAGAAGACATTTTTGACTATGTTTTAACAGTTTATTGGAAAATACATATTTTAGTTTGTCACATTCAATAGCACTAATATCATTTGTGTTATGTATGTATATTTATTAAATGTGCTTTTTAAAAATAAAATAAAAATTTGTGTTACAAATGTATATAAATTAAATGTGCTTTTTGAAAATAAAATAAATATTATTAGTTTTTTTTATCATGTCTGACTTTAATAAAACTTTAGTTAAAAATAAATAAAAAATTATACAATTAATTTAGAAAACATACATTTAGCACTTAATTACAATATTTTTGACAACATAAAATGCATTTGCTAATGTATATGATAGGTTAAATACAAAAAAATAGGGAGGAGGAAGAGTTTGAACCTGGCAACCAATATGGAGAACACTAATACAGTTTGTTGAATTAAAACTTAAACTGGCTTTTAAGCACACTTTATACTTTCAGACATTTAATAGTTGAGTTATATACCTCGAAATAGGTCATGTTCTAAATGACAAGCATTTCTGTTAATTTTCTTAGGGTTCAGTAGGGTTTCTGTGAGGATTCTTCATTTTCTAATAGAAAAAAACCTTTAAAATCTATATTTGTTTATTAAATTATAGTTAGTATTTCAATATGCTGGTTTAATAATAATATAATAATGAGTAAATTAATTATAAGTATTTAATAATAACTAAATGATTGATAAGGATAGTGTCACTCAAACAGAATTCAAACAGATCAAAGGAGTGACACTCAAACTGACCTAAGGAGTGACACCAGTTTTTAAATATAATATGATTAATAATAAGAATACACTCAGAGAACATACATAAACTAAGAAAACATTTAAAAATCATACTTTGATGATAATAATAAAAAATAAACAAACAAGAAGTTAATGAAAATAGTTGTAGTAACCATAATTAAAAAAATAAGAGTATATTTTAAATATTTAGTGAAAATCAAAATCAAAGTTAAAAATTGTTCTCAGAATTTTTCACAATGATTTTGTTTAAGATTAAGAAAAGATAATGGTGTTTGAAGTTGTAGTTTTTTGAACTCATTCACTATGCATACAAGACTCTTGTTCCATTCACAAATGCACTGATAGACAATAGAATGTTTACCATACTTCTGAGTTTTAAACGATGGTACATTATATATGTTTCTAGTAGAGTTCCATTCCATTATATATGTTTCTAGTGGAGTATGTATGTATTATGCTACTTTCTGTAAAATAGTCTGTTATAGAAAAGGATAAATTTTTATTATTAGAGTCAAATACAAAAAGAAGATTTTTGAAAGATTCTGATGTTTCTGACTTAAAAGGTTGGAAGTTTATGATTCTTATAGATTGACGTTCAGAGGACATTAATTTTTTGATGTGGTAGTTCCCATTTTGACCCCAAATTTGACAACAAAACTCAGATGCGATAAAAGTAATGCACAGTAAATATTCTTTAGTGTGAATTAATTGACATAATGATAAATTATTAAAAGTACGCTGTTAGCTTGAATTAGTTTCTTGCGTAGCTCATCAATATGAAAGTTCCACGAAAGATTGCAGTCAATTGAAACACTGAGATTTTTGATAACTTTTGTAGGATATAACCATTTATTATTAGTTTTGATTTGAATTTTAGAATTGTTGTTTAAATTGTGATTTTTTCTAGAAGATGAAAAAAAGATTAGTTTTTTTTGTGTTATAAGACATATTAAGTTAGTATTTAACTAGTGAACTTTTAGGTACAAATTTATGTCTTTACATTATATGTACAAACATAAATTTGGAGAATTATATGATTTGTTGATATGCAATAGGTTTGTGTCATCAGCAAATAGATGAATTGATAAAAAGCGAAGAGAGTCATGCATGTCATTAACGAGAGGACCAACAAAAGATGACCAAGAACAGAACCTTGAGGAACACCGTACACAACAAATTTATTAGTAGAATTATAAACATTAATACTTACAAATTGTTTCCAATCTGTAAGATAATATCAAAACCAGTCACTTACAACACCACGAAAACCAGTCCCTTACAACACCACGAATACCAGTCACTTACAACACCACGAATACCAGTCACTTACAACACCACGAATACCAGTCACTTACAACACCACGAATACCAGTCACTTACAACACCACGAAAACCAGTCACTCACAACACCACGAATACCAGTCACTTACAACACCACGAATACCAGTCACTTACAACACCACGAATACCATAGTGTTCTAATTTTGGAAATCAAAATGTTATAATCAACGGTATCAAAAGCTATTTGTAAATCTATAAAAATACCACAAACAAAATGACCAGTGTTGACAGCTTTTCTGATTTTTTCAGTTATACTTATCAATGCATGGCAGGTAGAATGTTTTGAGCAAAAACCAAATTGAAATTCATTTAAACAGTTAAAAGAGTTAAGAAAAGAGTACATTCTAGAATGCATTTAGTTTTTCAAGAAGCCTACTAATGTTAGATATAAGAGAAATAGGTCTGTGGTTTGTTCAAACAAGTTTAGAGCCGTTTTTATTATATATGTTTTATTAAATATGTTTTTATTATATATTTTTTATTAGATTTTTACTTTGTTATTATTATTTTTGTCTACTTTTAAGAGAGTAAATTATTTTACAAATAAATAACCTACAAAACAAATAACCTTCAAATCAAATAACTTACAAAACAAATAACCTACAAAACAAAACCCTACAAAAAAATAATCTACAAAACAAATAACCTATAAAAAAATAACCTACAAAACAATTACTCTATATAAAAAATAACCTACAAAATAATTAACATACAAAACAAATAACCTTCAAAGCAAATAACTTACAAAACAAATAACCTACAAAACAAATAACCTATAATAAAATAACCTACAAAACAATTATTCTATAAAAAAACAATCTACAAAACAAATAACCTACAAAACATATTGGGCTATTGCTTTTAACATAACTAAGGCTTTCAACAAAGTTCGGCATGCTGGTCTTTTCAACACGCTTGTTTGATATGGTGTATCTTGGAAAGTTTTTGCAATTATCAAATTATTTCTTTTTAACTGCTTTATTAAAATCATCCTCGAAGGTCAACACTCTTCTTCATTTCCAGTAACTTCTGGGGTACCTTAAGGTTATATCCTTGGTCCTGTTTTGTTTCTTATTTATATTAATGATCTTCCCAATAACCTTACATCTAAAGTAGCTCTTTTTGCTGATGACTCAGCTTTATATTCCTGTCTTGACAAAAAATCTTGTTTTGATCGCTTAGAACAGGCAGCCAATCTTGAATCTGATATCTTTTCTGTAACAGATTAGGGCTCACAGTGGCTTGTAAAATTTAATTCTTTATGTCTTCTTGAATTATCTTTACTACTGACCTTTCAGGAACCATATACAATTGATTGCTAAATTAGCATTTGCTAAGGTTGCTTCTTTTTATCATGCTTGCTACTTCTTCTCTCCTGATTCCATTCTCTACCTTTACAAATCTCTTATTCTTCCCTGTATGGAATTTTGTTGTCATATTTGGGCTGGTTCTTCTAATGATGCGCTTTCCCTTCTAGACAAGGTCCAAAAATGCATTGTTAATGTTGTTGGATCTGCTCTACCTGCAAAGCTTGAGCCTCTTTCCCATCGTTCTAAAGTTTCATCTCTTTCTCTTTTCTACAAATACTATCATGGTTGCTGCTCAAAGGAGCTATCATCTCTAGTTCCATCAACTGAAATTCATTCTCGCTTGACTTGTTATTGAGCAAAATCTTATTCTACTGTATCTGTCCCTGCATGTTCTAAAAACTTTTGTCTAGTTTTTTTCCCCACACTTCAACCTTTTGGAACTCTCTCCCATCTTCATGTTTTTCTGACTCATACAACCCTCAACTTTTCAAATCTTCTGTCAACCATTTGCTTGGTCTGTAACTCCATTCTTTTTTTCTAGTAACTCCCAACTTAATAGTAGTTTCTTGCAACCTAGTTGCAAGTGCAACCTTGCAACCTAGTTGCAAGTGAATCAGAATAATAATAGTAAAAAACAAATAATCTATGAAACAAATAATCTACAAAACAAATAACCTACAAAACAAATAATCTATGAAACAAATAACCTATAAAACAAATAACTTTAAAAACAAATAATCTATAAGACAAATAACCTATAAAACAAGTAACTTAAAAAACAAATAACTTAAAAAACAAATAATCTATGAAATAAATAACCTATAAAAAAAATAACCTATAAAACAAGTAACTTATAAAACAAATAACTTATAAAACCAATAACTTATAAAACAAATAATGTACAAAACAAGTAACTTACAAAACAAATAATATTTAAAACTAGCTAAAACCTATAAAATATTTTAAATAAAAAAATCTACAGTTTTTTCATTTTCATGATAAAGGTAAAACGAATTTTACTAAGTTCTTCTGCATCTCTTTATAAAGAAAATGGAACAAAAGGATTTTTTAGAGGTATAAAAAATATTTTCTCTGTATCATAAATGTTTGTATTTAAAAAATTTTATCATTAGTTTTGAAAAATCCTTTTTCAATAAAAATCATTTTGATTTTCATTATGTTTATTTTTTGATTTTCATTAGTGTTTATTTTTTAACAACTTTTTTTTTATTAAGCTCCATTTAAAAGAGTGATTTTAAGATTCAAGTTTTTTTTTTCAATATAAATAATTTCTTTTTTCTGCATTAAGTAATTATTAACAAGTTTGCAGTGTATTAAATCTCAAAATAATAAATAACTTTATTGAAATTATTTATAGTAGATGACCAAATGTCCTTGGATCTGAGTGATTAATGATGAGTGAGTGATAATCATTGATGTGATTATCAGTGATGATGATATAGCATACAACAGCAGTTATAATAGGTTAGGGTATAATCAGTGTTTGCTGAAATTTTGGAGGTGTGATTGTATCTATATCAGTAGATATAATTTTTTTTAAAACAAAAAAATAAATTATATAAATTATGTAAGTGCTTCTGCTTTAGAAGTCAAATTAGTAAAGCGATTGTCTCTTCTCTTTATTCCTATAATGTTTCATAAATCTTACAATAACAACTAATGCATATACCTATATGTATTACCATGCTTATTTGTCCTAGGTTTCTTATCCACCTCCTGTTTTTACCTTAGTCACAAATCTTCCTGGAATTTTTACTATAAAAAAGATTTTCTATAAAAATATATTGATGTTTTTTAATACTATTTCAAACAAAATTTAAAAAATAAATCATGGCCTTGTGATTTTTTTCTTTAAAAGTAACCTTCATCTTTCGTGGATAAGATTGGGTAACGATTGGCAGAGCCCATTTTGGTTAAGCACATATAAATTTTATATTTTTATTTAAATCATAAATTAGTTTTTTTAATTAAAATTCATAGTTGATTTTCCTTCACATTATACATAGTCAACTATTAATATATTTTAAATGTAAGCAAATATAGTAATTTGACTCGATAATCTCTTCATAATTGTAAAAAAAATAAATTAATAACCTAAAATTTTAGTTCTTTTAAAAAAGCAAAAGTCTTGAAATTATTCAAAATTAATTTTTTTTCCTGAATATAACTCAATAGCAAAATGTTGCTAAAAAAACTTCTTGTACTAATTTAAATTAAAGTTTAAGTTATTCATTTATTTTATCAATATATGTTAGTAATCATGACAATTGACTGCGAGAAAAACTTTTTAATCTTAGTAAATGTTTGATCGACAATTTGACACTTGGTATCCTCAAGTCTTTGAACAAGTTAAATAAGTAGGCATAGAGTAGATTTCAAGTATTCAAGAGTGAAAGGTCAAATCTATAACAGACTTGCTTAGAGGCCAATTAAATTGTTTTTTTTTTTTTTTGTGCAGGCTATCAGTATTTTCAATATTTTGATAAAAGTTTAAATAAATAAGATAATTTATAAATTTCAATGGTTTTGATAAATAGGCATTTCCAAAAAGTCACACACAGAAACTCATTGTTTTATTATTTCATAATATATTATATTTCATATAATAAAACTCTATCTCCTATTTAATTCTTATCTTTATAAATATTTTGTAAACAAAAATGGTATACATTAGTAATGCTATCAAAGTATAAATATATATATATATATATATATATATATATATATATATATATATATATATATATATATATATATATATATATATATATATATATATATATATATATATATATATATATATATATATATATATATATATATATATATATATATATATATATATATAGGTTTATTACCCACTTTACTTGCAATATTTCCTTACAATGGTATAAACTTTGCGTTATATGGATCGTTTAAAAGAGCTTGGCTTTTATTTTCGATAGAAGTGAGTTTTTATATTCCATATTTTAGTAAAAAATAATTTAAAAAATATATATTTAAAAAATAATCAATATTAATTATTTATTACCTTCAAAGAATAAAGAGACTAATGTTTCACGTCTTTGTTGTGGAGCACTTAGTGGTCTTGGAAGTAAACTAATCCTTCTACCATTTGATACAGTAAAAAAGCATTTGCAAGTTCAAGGTTTGAATGATTATACTAATGAGTACAGAGGAATGTTTCACTGTTTTAAATATTTAGTGAAGAAGAAAGGATTCATAATACTGTATAGTGGAACATTTCCTGCAGTTTTAAAAGTATGATTTATATGTTTTTTTTTTTATTTTAACTTATTTATTTTTTTTATTTTGAATAATTTTTCTTTTTCTGTTTGTTTATAGTCTGTGGTTGTTGTGGCAACAAGCTTTGGTTTCTATGAGCTTATTTGTGATATGCTTAATTATATTGACCCCTAATTAATATTTTTTAGATATTATTTATATACAATTTCTAATGAAATAAATTATTGAATATTGGATTACATACATAACACATAAGTATTATTTTTAATAAATGAATACATTATAACAAGTATTTTCTTTTTAGTAATAATTATTTTTTTCTAATAATCAAATATTACTAAAAGTAATACATTATAAAATATTATTAAAAATATTACATTATAAAATATTATTTATAAAGAGAAAATACTATTTGCATAAGATTTTTGTTTGCAAAATGGCACAGTTGCTTCGATTTTCGAAATAATAATGGTACAATGCAACAAATCAAAAAATAGAAATTTTGATTTGCTAATTATACACTATACAAATCTGTTTATGTCACTTAAAGACTATTAAACTTCATTGTGCACATTTTAAATGTGTAACTATATACACAGTCACATATAGGCGGTTAAAGAATCTATTTTATATATATTTTTTAATTTTTGTTTTAGCTTTTATATATTTTTTTTATGTTATAATATATAATGGTGCATTGTATTAAAAATTGTAAGTTTAGTTAATATTACAGAAAGATGTTGTGACAAAGTAGATACATATTGACTGAAGTAGGCAAAGCACTAATTTAAAAAAACTTTTTTTTATATAGAAGTATATAACAAACAAAATTTTTTTTTATTAATGATCATTTTATAATAGTTATTAAGAAGTAAAAAATATAGTAGTAATAACAATGATAATTATGAAAATAGTTAAATAATAAATATATTAAGATAACAAATTTAGTACAAGTTGTTATAATAATAAGTTACAATAATAAAAAATTAGAAAAAAATAAATAAATAAATATTATTTATTTATTTATTTTTTTTTAAAAGAGGACCAAGAACAGAACCTTGAGGATCGTAACACATTACAGATTTATTTCTAGAATTGAAATCAATAATACTTACAAATTGTTTTGGATTGAAAAGATAAGATCGAAACCATTAACAACAACGCAAGTTCCATAATGTTTTTAGTAATTTAGAAAATCAAGTATTACAGTCGACTATATCAAAAGCTTTTTGTAAAACAAAAAAAGACACCACAATCACAAGAGCTTTTCTAATTTTTTCATTTTTATTCAAAACATGACAACTTGAATGTTTTAATTGAAAATCAAATTGAAATTCATTTAAACAATTAAAGGAACTTAGAAAAGAGTACACTCTAGAAATATAAGTTTTTCAAGAAGCTTACTAAGGTTAGATAAAAGAGAAATAGGCCTATAGTTAGTGCATAAAGATCTAAAGCCATTTTTAAATAATGGGATAACAAAAGATAATTTCAAAATATTAGGAAATGTTTCATTTAAGAATAATTAAATAGTTTTGAAAGAATATTTGAAAATTCATAGTTATAAATGTGTTTATGGGAATGTTGTTTATGCCGAATGATTTTTTTAGATACTAATTATATATAAAAATAAAATTTCAGGAATATTTTTTGAAGATAATAATAGAATAGATGTAAACTTATTGTAAACAATATGTTGATGTAGGACAAATGAATATCAGATTTGAGTTTATGAGCAACATTTGTAAAAAAATGGTTAAATGAGGTAAGAGTCGAGTCAGTTGTATATGTTTCATTGTCTTGTAAGCAGTTGGAAGATGATTTATTAAAGTTTTACTAGATTTTTAATGACTCTCCAAAGTTTTCAAAAAAAATTTAACATTTTTCTGAGGAAATTTTACAGTTTTATAGTTTAATCAATATAATTCATATATATTTATATTTTTTAAAAATAGTTTCTAACTTGTTTATATTCATAAGATCATTAGATCTTGACATTTTTTTTTTGAAAAAATTGCATAATAGATTTTACAATTTCTTTAGTAATTCATGGTTTAAATCTTTTGATTCTATTCTTTTTAAGTTGAAACCAAAATTAATGTGTTTCCTATAATAAACAATTGTAAACATGATTTTGTATCACTAGTCTATAACCTAGTCAATTTTTGATTGACTAGGTTATAAAGACTAGGTTGAAAGTCATATTAAAAGTTTTCTTCATTGAGGTTTTTAAAACTACTGCTATTTAAATTGTGTCTGTGTGGTATAAATATTTTATTGAAATTTGGACAAATACAAAATTGAGGTAAGTAATCAGAAGCAGAGATGTTTAAATTACATGAAATAATTTGATTAATTATCAAATTAGAGAAAATATTGTTGTTGATTGTTGCAGTGTGATCAATAGTTCTCAAGGGTAAAGTGATAAAAGAGCCAAATATTATTAAAAAAAGTATATTTGAAAAATTAGATGTCACAATGTCATTACTTGTATAAGATAAATGTTAAAATTACCAGGTAAGAAAACATTTTTTTCAGATGATATTTATTGAAGTAGAACAGGAATAATATTATCAAAACCATTGGTATCCAATCAAGGTCAGGTGTCTATAAAAGAAATCAACAATAATATTAGACTTTTTAGAAAAGATAATTTCAATATATGTGGATTCTAAACAATTGGGTGTGTAAATCATCAAATCATCTCTTTGTTATACATATAATTATTTTTTGATAAATATAACAATGTATTACCATAAGAAGATTTAGTTAGTGCGTGTTAAATGTTGTAATTATCAATGAGAATGGGATGACGATGTTTCACTTATTAATTTTTATTCAGTTACACCAATAATGGAAAAGTCAAAGTTAGTTAATGATTATGTTTAAAACCTAAAAGTGTTTTTGTAACAATGGTATTTTTAGATGAAAAAAGGAGTGTTTGTTTTGTCAAAGTATAGTGAATTTAACTATATCATGATATTTACAAATATTATATATATAATGATGGAAAAATTTCTTTGGAAGTTGATGAAACATAATCATTAATTTGATTAAAAACTTTATTTAAATGAAAAGACAAGAAAAAGTTTGTAGACAGAGGTAATTCATCTCTCATATGAATTTTATCAAAATAATAATTTAAATCCATTATCCGGTACATCTGTGAATGAAAAGACACTTTTAGCACAGCTTATACAATGCTGTAATGACTTGATTGTTGTTAATGGTATTCAGTATCAAGCCTGTCACATTTTGTATGAATCTAAAACAAATAAATATCAAACAAACATTACATTTAGCAGCAATTGACTAATTTTTTTTACATAAATGAAAGTTTGCATTGTAGAACTGCAATATTAGAGAGGATGATAATAATTAAAAAGTAAATGTTAATAATTTTATCCTCTCTTCAAAATATTAAAGCTTAATAAACAACAAAGCATATTGATAAATATTTCATGGAATAGATAAAAAATATCATGTAAACCTAATGACAAAGTGACTTATAAAACAACTGCGTCAAAATTTTCTGATGAAATATTATCAAGAAGCTAAAGAAATAAAAGTGATTAAAGGTACATGAAAAAAGTCTGGGTAGTTTTTTTAATTTTGTAAATGGTAAATTTAAAATGAATAGTTTAATTATAAGGTTTTGTCGATCTGATAATAGTCTTTTTTTAAAAAAAGAATTATTATTTTGCATTTTGAATGACTTTACTAGCATTTTTACAATTAATAATGGTTGTTGTTATTTCTTCCTTTCAACATAAGAATTATGATTAAGATTATGTAAGCATTTTATTGATTGACATTCCAAATAATAAAATACTGTCAGTGTTCTTTAGTTATTTTTTGATACCTCATTTAAAAATGGTCAAAAAATGTCAAACTGGAAAATAGGCAAATTTTATTTCTATTTTAAGGAAACAACAGTTGATTATAGTTATAGAAGTAATTATGACTCCTTGAAAACTACTTTTTGCCATGTAAAGGAATGAATTATTAATAATGATCTGAATGATTTTACTCAATAAAACTGTAATTTTCTACTCAATGACCTATTTACATAAGAGTAACAACAAACAAGTAACTTGTACAGTACAAGTACTGTGTTTATGGTCATAAACATAGTACTTGTATTAACATTCTAGAAAGTCTTCAAGATTGGACTTAAAATCTGCAGCGTCACATTCTAACTGATATTGTTTATTTTAATTTTATGAAAGTTTTTGATTAGGTTTTACATCCCAAGTTACTTATGAAATTACCTGCTTATTTCATAGTTTTATAATTTATAAAGCCAGTTTTATACTGAAAGTTTTTTTAAGTTTTGTGACAAAGTTTCTTTGTTGATAACAAGTAAAAATTAATAAAAAGAGGTTCTTATTAACCTTGGTGTTGGTCGGAAAAGTTTTCTAAAAATTATTAAAAGTTACATCCCATGTATTACCCACCTGAGAGTATAGACATTCTATGTTAGAATATCGCTCTCTGGCATATCACCTTACACTAGATAAGTAGAATTGAGAACAACACTTAAAAAACGCTTGTTTACTAACAGCTGTATCAGCTGTATATATAATAAAGAGTTTTTAAAATTTATGTTTTTGAAACTCTTTTTTTTTTAAATTTATGTTTTTGACACTCTTGACAATTCTTGTTTATTTGATTTTACTTCTGAAGAATGTTATTTTGAATAGCTTAAAAATTTTTAAATTGATGTTTAGAAATTAACTTATTTTATAAATTTTGAAAAATGAGATATATGAACTGGTTTTTGAAAACTTCTGATAAATGTGGTTTAGAGTATGGTTTTTTGGTGGAAAATATTTATAGTTTTTATAGTTATAAAAAATATTTATAAACATTTTTTCAATTTTGAAAAATGCATTTAAAAATGAATGAATTTATATATAGTTTATGAGTTATAATTTATTAATTTATTAATTTATAAGTTATAATTTTTATATTTAAAAGAAATATTTATAAAAATTTTTTCAATTTTGAAAAATGCATTTTAAAATGAATGAATTTTATTTTAGATAAAAATTCATTCAAAATTCAATAAAACATTCAAAAACATATGATATGCATATGTAAAACATTCAAAAACATATATAATATGTTAACATGATTTTGAAGAATTTGTTTTTAATATATTGAATACTGTTTTAAAACAATAATGGATGAAAATTTTAAAGTTATACTAGATGAGAACACATTACAAGAGTCTTTGGCAAGTTATAAAGAGCAGGTCTGATGTTATTCAAAAAGATATTTTTTATGTCTTATTAACAAATTATAATTATTTTATTTCGTTTTTTTGGTTTTAGCTTGCTCAAATCATTAGTGTTATTTCAACAGCTGATGATGCATTAACCAAACTAGAGTTATATGATCTTGAAAAAGATTTAAAAGAATTAATTTCAGTCACTGAAGGTCATTTTTATGTTTAAGGTGTTAATAGTTTTTTATGTTTAAGGTGTTAATAGTTTTTGTTACTGAAGATTCTTTTTTTAAGAAGGTTTTATAAATAAAAATAATTAAGAGAATATTGAAAGAGTTTTGTTTTAATGTTTTTATATCATGTTATCTTTTTAACCTTGTTGTATAAAGTAATAATAAAAATTGTAATAAAGTTATATTCAATACATTTATAATGATAATAAACTAATTAAATAAGTTAAGATCTGCCATTATTAAGTTAAGATCTGCCATTATTAAGTTAAGATCTGTCATTATTAAGTTAAGATCTGCCATTATGTTCTATTTTGAAAAAACTTTTAAGATTATATAGATTTTAAGGACTTCTTAAGTTTATAGTGTAAACCTAATTTTTTTTTTTTTAAAACAATTATCAAAAGATCTTGTAAAAATTATAAATAGATAATTTAAAAAAAAAATATGTTCAATCTTTTTGGGAAGAATTAGAGCGAATGTTTTTATAAGTTTAAATAAGTAGACATTAAAAATAGGTAACGCTAAATCTTTGTTCATTTCCTATTTAAGATGAATGCAAAGTACTTCTAAATTATGTTTTTGTTATATATATATATATATATATATATATATATATATATATATATATATATATATATATATATATATATATATATATATATATATATGTATATGAACGCTCTAAATAATGGCGGATCAAAGATCAATGATTATCAACTTTTGGAAAAATGATACTTTGAACTCCTAAAATTAATAATGTTTAATCAAGTTTGATTGTCAACACTTACAAGTCAAACTTTATGATAGAAATTTAATTATTTAAAAAATAATCTTAAAGTTATTAAATCAGCATTAAAATTTAAAAATGTTTATGATTGTTAAATTAGACAAATTAGATTGCTAGTTTTAAGACCATAATAATCTTTCACAAAAAAAACACAGTAGTTTAAAAAAAAAGTGTGAAATTAATATTTAGTAAGTAAAAAAACTGATTGGTTTTGATTGATGGAATATACATAGCATTGATTTTGTAACAATCTTCAGTTTCAAAGTTAACTGTAAATAAATGAAATTCTTTAGAAATGAATTAACAACCAGAAAGTTAACTGTAAATAAATGAAATTCTTTAGAAATGAATTAATAACCAGAAAGTTAACTGTAAATAAATGAAATTCTTTAGAAATGAATTAATAACCAGAAAGTTAACTGTAAATAAATGAAATTCTTTAGAAATGAATTAATAACCAGAAAGTTAACTGTAAATAAATGAAATTCTTTAGAAATGAATTAATAACCAGAAAGTTAACTGTAAATAAATGAAATTTTTTTGAAATGAATTAATAACCAGAAAGTTAACTGTAAATAAATGAAATTTTTTAGAAATGAATTAATAACCAAAAAATTCTTTTGAATGTCTGGAAAATAAAAAGTAAAGTAAAAAAAAAGATTAGTTGGAAAAACTTTGTATTGAAAACATCATTACAATTTAAAATTAAGTTTAATTTTAAATGGTCATGATGTTTTCAAAACAAAATTTAATTAATTTAATTTAAAAAAAATCATTTTTGTTTTAAAATTATAGAAATTATTATTTTGTAATTATAAATTAATCATAAAATGTAAGCATGCAAAAAGCAACAAACATTTCTTTCAACATTTATTTCTTTTAAAAAGAAATCAGTATCTGAAACACCCACTGAATAAATAGAAAAAACTTACGAAAGAACAATAAAGGAACAAATCATTAGAATTTTAAAACAAACAAACAAACAATATGACATTGCATAAACTGTATGTTATTCAGTTGGTGTTACATAAACTGTAGGCTATTCAGTTGGTGTTACATAAACTGTTCGCTATTCAGTTGGTGTTACATAAACTGTACGCTATTCAGTTGGTGTTGCATAAACTGTTCGCTATTCAGTTGGTGTTACATAAACCGTTCGCTATTCAGTTAAAGTAAAAGTTTAAGTAAAATATGATTGTCTGGAAAATTATTTGATTATCTACTTTTCAATTTTTATTGCTTCTGTCGATCAGTGTTGATCGGTAACCTTCGAATAATTATTTAGAGTACTGATATATATGTATATGTTGTTTGTATGTGTGTAATATATATATATATATATATATATATATATATATATATATATATATATATATATATATATATATATATATATATATATATATATATATATATATGTATATATATATATATATATATATATGTATGTATGTATGTATGTATGTATGTATGTATGTATGTATGTATGTATGTATGTATGTATGTATGTATGTATATATATATATATATATATATATATATATATATATATATATATATATATATAACTATCCTTACATATTTTCAGTTTTCTAAATATTATTTTAAACTTTTTTTTATAGAAAGTCTGCTTTCTTTGAAAAAAGAAAAATCTTTATTAAATAAATACGAAGAATATAATTTTCCTGTTAATACTGAATCTCATACTGTTGGAGAATCATCTCAGGTATTGTTATGTTTTAAAATTTTCTGTTAAGGTCCAAACAATACACCAATAAAAAAATTAAAATAAAATTTGTCAAAAAATTTATTTTATGATTTCTGATATACTTTGATGCCCTGGTTCTAAAATTGTTTACTTTAAAGTTTTAGCAACTTGTTAAAATCTTCATACTTTGAAGATTTGACTTGTTAAAAACTGCTTACTTTGAAGATGTAACTTGTTAAAAATTGCTTACTTTGAAACTTGTTAAAAGATATAAAAATTTGCTTTAAAAGCTTTAAAATAAAAATTTGCAAGTCTGTAAAGAAATATCGATAAAAAAAACTGAAGCTAAATTTTATTTTTTGATATTTGAAGATCTTTATACAAATGTGTTCATACCAAATGTTATTTATAAATTTTTAAAAATCTGCTAAAATGAAAGAGTAAAATTTTAAAATGCTGTATTAATTTGATATATTTTTTTGCAGATTTGCCAAAATTTTATTACATAAACTTTTATGAACATCAATATGTCAAAATATATCACCCCTAATGATTTTTTAATAGAAGACAATTTTTTTACTGGATTTTTAGATTTTTTTTTAATTCTTTACCTTGATTTTTTTTTTAATATATAGAATGTATATAAAAAATTTTTAATATATAGAATGTGTATAAAATTTTTTAATATATAGAATGTGTATAAAATTTTTTTAATATATAGAATGTGTATAAAATTTTTTTAATAAATAGAATGTGTGCAAAATGGGCAATACCTCGAGAAAGAGGAAAAAAAAAGAAGAAAAAAATACATACTAAACTCTATTTTAACTATTTAAAAATACTTTTAAGCAAAAAAGTTATTTAAAAAAATCATTTTATCATACTATACCATAGTTTTAAAGGTGTAAGGGTTGTTTAAATGTGTTTTGACGCTTATTTACAGTCCTGTTGAGTAGCGTTAAAAACCATATTGTATATCCAAAATTAAGAACTTTGATAATGTTAAAGTGCATTTTTTTAACATAATATACATGGTTGTTTATAAACGTTTATACTTTTTTTCTTACATCATTGATTGTGTTGTTTAATTTTTTGTTTTTAAGCATTAGATTTTTTGTTATTACCCTCACGACAAAAAAAGCATTAAAATGCTTGTAAAACTATGAGACTCAGCATATATTAATATCAATATGTGCTGAATACACACACCAAATCAAATTTTATTTTTACCATGCCGTTCGCTGCATCATGTCTGACAAAGTTGTTTTGTTCAGAAATGGTAAAAAGTAAGCATTACGGCTGTCATGCTACATAGAGTTTAAAGTTTAAAGCTGTAACTTTTACATAATTATATAATAGTATTTCACATTTCTGGAAAGTTTCAAGTCATTTCCATTTTTGGTTTATTCTTAATAGCTTAAAGAGAGTTAAAAGTTACGACTGTCACTCTTGGTAATTGCCCATAATATATATATATATATATATATATATATATATATATATATATATATATATATATATATATATATATATATATATATATATATATATATATATATATATATATACACACACACATACATATGCAAATATTTGAAATGATTGAAATCAAGCCAAATATGTTTCAATATGGTCTTATTCCCCTGAAACTAATAATCTATCAAAAAAGTAAAAATATGACATTACACATTGGGCCATGATCGACAATAAATGGACAAAAAATTAAATGGATAATTCCTTTATTTTTAAAGTTGAAATTTTTATCAGTGACTCTAGTCATCATGAAAATCTTTTTTAAAAAAGATATATTTTTTTTTTGCAGATGCAGGCACCCTAATCACCATAATAGAAAAGGGTGTATAGGTAGGGCGTGAGGGATTTAAGACATAACTTTTGGTTGTTTTTAGAAACAGTTTTCCCAGATTCAAAGCATTTATTAATTAAAATGATTGTTACATGTTAGACACCTTTTTATAAGCAAAAAAACATTTAATAATTATATATTTTATCAGAAATCGGAGTAAAAGTATACAAAACTTAAATAAAAAAAAGTTACACTAAAAGTTTGAGCAATCTTTGTTAAATTCAAAACTCCGTCTTAGAGAGCTAATAAGTGGATTTGTACTGTACAATAATCTTTAAATAACATCGTAAGATGAAAGAAGTAGTTAAAAAAAAAAGTCACATCAACTATTGAAAAAAGTTTTACAAAAGTTCGAATGACAATTATGTTTGATATAAGCGCTATTTACTAATGAAAAAAGTTCAAAATTAAAAGTTTATTTTTATTTTGTTATTTTTTATTTTATTGTAATGATTGATTTTTTAAGCTTGAAGCAAAATCATAAAGTTTAATTCTGAAATAAAAATGATTTAATTTATAACTAATTTAATAAAATTATATAATTTTATTCTGATAAAAAATATATATAATTTAATTTAGATTTTAAACAACATATATTTTACATAAAATTACATTTTGATTTAAAAAATGTATTTAAGTTTATTAAGATTAAAGTTAATGCTTGGGTTAAACTTAACTGTCAAAATTATTTTAAAATATTACCAAATATTATTCAATATTGAAATTTTGTTTGTGCTTTAAAAAAATTAGCTCAAAAATTTGCACAAAACGTAAGTTAAACTTTTTTTTTATAACACAATTTAACTTTAATAATAAAATAATAAACTAATTAACTTTTAATAAATAAAGTAAATGAGTTAACCTAACTTTTTTATTTGTTACTCGCTAATTTATTTTAAATAAAAAATCATTTGTAGTTGCAAAGCCACAATTAGAAGTTTAAGAAATAATCATTTTAGAAATTCAAGAATTTAACATATTTTAATTCATTTATGCAAATGATGAGAAAAGAAAGAAATTTGTTAATATCAAATATTTTTAAAGATGCAATATTAAATTTAATTAATAATAAAAAAAAAAATAAACATTCCCTTATAGTAATAATAAAAAGCTGTTAAATAGCATTTAACTCGTTGGTATATTTTTCAAGTTCATCAGCGTTAATTTGATGTTTGCACAAAAAAAACACAAAGAATTAAGTAGTTTTTTTATTTAAGCCAAGTATTTCAGCAGGCACTTTTGTTGTACCTGAACCCCTGATTCACATCTACAATTAAACCTAGTGATCTTCCTTCTTTTATTGTACCTTCCTTCTTTTATTGTACCTTTTATTGGCACTTTTGTTTTGATCTTCTTTCTTTTATTGTACCTTCCTTCTTTTATTGTACCTTTTATTGGCACTTTTGTTGTACCTGAACCCTCTGAGACACATCTACAATTAAACCTAGTGATCTTCCTTCTTTTATTGAACAATAATCTTTTTTTAATATAACAATTTCTTTAGCATCCTCTCCCCTAACTTGCCACTTTCCTAATTCAATTCTATAACTTATATGAAGGCAGCATTCAAAGCACTTAAATCATGCATGTAATGCATCAACCCAAGCTCAGTGGAAACTATTATAGATTTTTGAAAAAGTAACATTTAGATTGTTCATATTTGAAGGGGTCAGTCCACAAATAATACATACTTGAAAGGAATTACTTAAAGGCAAAATTATAATAGCCACTTTTCCAACAATCATTGTGCATTCTAAATTATGTTTGATAATAAAGGAATTAAATAACGTTGGTTTCAAATTACTGTTCTTGAAAAAAATATAGTCTTGTGTAATAACCTCAGTACTTTCTTTTACAAATTAAAATCATACTGGATGGCTATAAAGTGTAGAGGATGGTTTTTCATTAGTCCATAGTGATTTGCCAGATTCTTCAATATAAAGTTTAATTAGAGCGATGTAGGATAGAAATAAAGATTTTTCCTCAACACAACTGATACTTATTTTGTCTTCTGTACTTAGTTTGTATAATGATTGGCCAGTTAAACTATCAAATCCTTCTTTGTGTATAAAGACAATGGAATGGAGTTCTCAGGAGTCTTCACAGATTCATTGAGTATATTTAACAACCTGTATGTAGTAGGGTCAATTAGGCTCTGTAAATCAACTAAGGCTGAATAATCAGTTGTTTGAATTCCACTACAAGGTATGCATAAATCTTTTTATTCTCTTTTTTATAAGTTGGATACAATTTGTTTCCTTTAGAAAACAATTTGGTAGTCGGCAGCCCAAAATCAATGCTTCCTCCTTCAATATACATTGTTGTTAAATTAACTGCACCGTCGTTCTCTGATTTTCATATTTGCTTCACAACCTTAAGTGTAATAATGTAAATTTGAAGAGTAAAATGAATACAAACCACTAAGAAAATTTATCACCCGTAGTATTTTAGAGATTTTTTTTTTTAATAAGATAAATTAAAAAATGATTACATTATTGATGATAATGTACATTAACATTGCTGAACCTTTTTTCCTATTTTAGTTTCAAAATAATTGAGTAAATTAATTCCTCTCTATTGACACCAATTTTTATTTATTCTGCTCACTTCTTCTTTGTTTTTTCAGAAGCTTGGGTGAATGATATAGAATTTGCACCTGGTGGTTTTCTGTAGACAACTAATTTAAATTAAAATACCAGATAATTAAATTTAGTATAAACACTTGTTAAAATACAATTAAATAGTAAAAAACACCATAATGGGGGGAATAAAAGTGAATATTTAGCGAAATAGTTCAAATTGTGATACCAGCTTGAAACTTTCAGGAAGTTGTCTATAAATTAAAAGAATTCAAAAAAAAAAAGACCCCATTCTGAAAATATTTTTTTGGTCCTGAGGTGACCCCCAACTGAGTAGACTGTAAAACTATAAAATCTTCTGAACCGATTATAAAAGGTTGCATTAAGCAGAATTTTAAGAAACAACAAACAACTATACCACATTACTAATTAAAATATGATTAAAAGCATAAAAAAAGTTTTATTTATATATTTCAGAGTAATGGAACTAATTTTTTTTTAAACTTGTTAACAAAAATGAGGTTTGTTCATTTTATTCAAAGCACTGACCAGAACACTTGTATAGGTCTGTACAGGATAATCCTGATCGTTTGCATTTGCATTGCGTTCCGCAACTTTTCTTGCATCTACATTTTATTATTTCGAATTGGTCAAAATTTGTTGTTTGTTTAGGATACTCCACAGAATGGTCTTTAGTAGGCTCTATTGTTGTGTAATATGATGGTAATCATATTACACAACAATTCCTTTCTTTGGTGTTTTGGAATGTATGTTTAAACCAACATATAATGGAAACGGTGGAATTGTACCTGCTTTAAGATGGGTATATTTTCCTTCTTGTTTGGCTTCGACATTTTTTTCCAAACAATTGTAAATTATGAGTTGAGAAACAGTTGCTACAACTTTGGTATGTGCTTAATTATAGTTATCATCTTTTACCTTCTGTCCATATAACACCATTCTAACAAAACTTTTTAATGTGTTTGGGGTAAGTTCACTTTCTAAACCATTTGAAATTGTTGAGACGTTATCAGTACTTAGCACTTTAAAAATTTGTTTTCGCAAAATAGTCGCTGCTTTTACTAAACATATTCCTTCTTCCTCATTCGTTAAATAACAAGCATCAGAATTAGCACTTCCCAGATCCGCTTTAAACGTCAGCAAAACTTTTCTACCTTTTTTAAATTCCCTTAACTCTGGTACAAGGTTTAGAACTTTTTCTTTTAGTCTAGTTTTGTTTTCACAGTTGAAACTTTTATCATAACTTTTCATAGGTTGCAAAACAATTGATATAGTTCTGATAATTGAAACACAGGAATAATTACTTCATTTTCATAGCACTGATAGATATATTCTATTATCTCTCCAAGAACAATTCCATAAACAATGTTGCTTTCGCTTTTCATTACTGGTTGGTCTTTCTGTAAAGAGCGTATTCTGTTATATAATTGGCTGAGACAAGCTTTATGATAATGAGCTTCAGTAGCTACAAGATCACCTTCACTTAGCTTTGCAAGTAACTTAGAATCTGATAAAATTTCAGCACACCTGCGAACCTTTTTATCTAGTTCAAGAGTCATCACTTGACTTGTTATCCACCTTCTCACACAAGAAACAATTTTCTTGAAAGTTGTTGACCTGAAACTTTGACCTTGTACCATGGTTTGGGATTGATCGCTCTTCTGTTACATCTAATATTTTTCTCTGTTTAGATGCTCTCTGGTAGTGATAGTTATCAAAATTAGTGTAACATTTTTTGTGATAGACTGCGTTGTTGTTGCAAAGCTGTTGCAGCAAATCTTCGCATTGCAGTCGGGAAGTTAAACAAACTGACAAACTACCTGCATAAGATAAATCTGAATTTTCAGCAAAAAATTACTTAACAGATTTTTGGAGAGAAATACTTTCCACTCAAGATATAATATAAAAACAAATGGTTTGTTTTAAAAAACATTGGATTAAATTTAGTTAAAGAGTGAAAAAATAAAAATTTGCTTCAACACTTGAGAAAATATGAAAGCAGAAAATGATTTACATTTGATAAGACAATATCAGCCTCTATCTGATAAATTTAACTCACTAATTTTCTGTCAAAAGCAAATGACAAAAAAAGATGTATTAAAAACAAACATATTGTTATATAATCAAACCTATTTCTTTGAACTTCTCTAGGTTACTAAGTAATGTCTTATATCCAGTGTCTTTTTGCTGTTTTTTTGGTTTAGAAGGATTAATAATGTCGCTAATGGTTGATGATTGCTCTTGACATATAAAACATTTATCCCACTCTGTTGCATTATTTGTTGTTGTTGATAATTCATAACCTGTTGCATTTACAAGTTTGAAACTCTTCTGAGACATTACAATTTATTATTAACTTCTATAGGTTATTTTTGTTATTTGGTTTTATATAGATTTTTAAAGGTTTTACTTTTTTTGCATTAATATAGTAAAATAACAGTAAAAACAACTGAAAATAGCATACTCTATCATAAAGCTAGCTATTTTTAGTTTTTTTAATCAACATTATTAAGTTTATAATGTTGATAAAAGCTTAGAAATAGTTAAAAATTAACAAAATAAAAAAATATATAAATAGGAAATTCATTAGTAAATTACATTAACTCAGGAAAAACTGAAAAAATAACTCGTGACTTATGTATTCACGAATATTAACTTATCATGAAAGATACATTTACCAACTTATGAACAAATTGCTGTTTATTTGTTTACATACTTTGTTTGCACTCACCTAAAAAAAAGTATTTAATTGTATTTGTTATAAAAATTTCCAGTATGACCACGTGCATCGTTTCCGCTTTTATTTAAAGCTGATTTTACACTAAAATATAAAGTTCTTTAAGTCCATTTCTCTAAAAAATGAAGGCTCAATAACTCAACGCCAAAGATATTTATAAATGGGGTCCTTTTCTTTTTTAACTTGTATAGCTGTTGACAGCAATTTCGCCAAGTTTTATGCTGGTATCACAATTTGAACTATTTTTACCTTTATTCCCCCCACTACCATGAGTCCATTACTTTAATTTTTATGAAATATCATACTAAATTGTTAGAAAAACTAGGAAAAACCAAGACTGAGTTTTGGGCCTTGTCTAGTTTATCTGTTTTAAAACATGCATCGCTTGTTTGTAGTTCTTTTTCTTAGCAGATTTTATAATGCAACTCAAATCATCCTTGTGCCTGTTTACTTTGTTCCATTTTTTGTTAGTTTGTTTAGAAAATAACTTGGTTCTGTGTTAGAGATCCTTGTGACTTTAAAAGTATCAGGGTCGGTAAATGATTTGTTTAAGTTGTTTTTTAAAGCATGAAACAATTTTCAAGATATTTCTTTATTTTTCATAATGATTGGTAGAAGGAAATTTCAATTTTTAGTATTAAAGTCAAATAACATTTAATTTTATTGTTTCTTGTTGTTTCCGTAATTGCAATTAATTATTTAAAGTTTTCTGTTTGAAAAAGTTTTTTAATGTCAATATCAAAATTTCTATTCAATGTTCAATGAAGGATTTAAAATTTAAATAACTCATCAGCGGAGGTGTAGAATGTATACTTTGGAAAACAAAAACTACTAAATGGGCAGATATAGAGAAAGTTAGTGAAGGATTCCCGATTGATCAATCATCAGAGGAACTATGGATGTTGTACAAAAAACTAGTTAATGAGAATGTTTAAGTTTTCAAGTTTTTGATTTTGCTACACGGCAAAAAACGTTTTGTGAACTTAATAAAAAGTTTGGTTATTTTAACAAAAATATTTGGTGAATATTTATGCACCAAATATTTTTGTTAAAGTTACAAAATTATTTGGTAAAAATAGTTTTATAAATTTAACTGCGTGATTTTGTAACCTTAACCAAACGATTTTGTTAACTTAACGAAATGATTTTGTAAAATTAACCAAATGATTTTGTGAAATCCTTTTCACCAAATCTATTTGGTAAAATTTACAAAATTTTTTTGGTTCATAAATATTCACCAAATGTTTTTGTTAAGATAACCAAGTTTTTTGGTAAATACCCCTAAAGTTTCCTCATTTTATTTGGGAAAGTATAACAATAAATTTTGTCTTTTGGCGTACATTAAAGTTCCATTTTTGTTTTGAAAAAATGGAACTTTAATGTACGCTTTAAATTAAAAAAAAAAACGAAACAAAAAAACACAAATAGTTTTAAATAAATGCTTTATTTTATCTAAATTAAGATTGAAATGTATCGAAAGAAGTTTATAGATTTAACTCAGATGCTAATTCACTTGCTTTCGGGCACGAAACATCAAAATCGGGGCAATTGAAACAATATATGTATTTCTGTAAAAACATCCAAGCTGGAAAACTCGCAATATTGTATTCCTTATTCAAGACCTAAAGAAAAATAATTGATAATGAGGGCTCATTGTAAAGTTCGTTTGCAGGTATAAGACTTTGCCTCACCTTTTTCAAATCTCAAATAAATTTCATATGGTAAATTATACTTTGTAAAATAATTATCACATACGTAGAGTAATTATACTTGTTTATTTACAATTGTTTTAAGATTATTTTAGCACAAGAGCGTTTATTTGCATGAATTTTGTAATAACTTCGCAAAAAGTAATGCAAAAAATCAGCACAATTTTTTAAAAGTGCAACTATATGCAATACTCGCTAAAATACTAGTATTTTATATAAATTCAAACATGCAATATGTAACAAACATTGTATCAATAACAATATTCGACTCACCTGAATCAGTTTAAAAGAAAAATCCATGGCTTTCAAAGGCGTTTGAAATGACCATCTATGGTTGTTGTACACAGCAACAGCAATGTTTGGTGGTACAGCATAAACTAAAGGTTGAAGTGTGAGCTTCAGATCATTATAAAAAATTCTTATGTTTTCTATTGAATGCTCAGCATCTTGAACTGACTGAAAAAACAAACAAATATTAAGCAATGTAATTTTCATTACGCAATGTAATTTTCATTACATAATGTAATTTTTATAACACCCTTAATATTTTTAAATATAAAATTTTAATAGTTTATTATAAATACATTGGCTAGAAAAAGAAATGATTCGCCAGATTCTTTAACACTTGGAGTCCAAGACTTTCATTTTGCGTCTTTAGATAAACGTATTAAACGTTTACAGCATGTCAACCGCACAATAGCCAAAAGAGCAGCTGTCTCATCTTCTACCTCTGTATTGTATATATATATATATATATATATATATATATATATATATATATATATATATATATATATATATATATATATATATATGTATATATATATATATATATATATATATATATATATATATATATATAATATATATATATATATATATATATATATATATATATATATGTATATATATATATATATATATATATATATATATATATATATATATATATATATATATATAAAATATATATTTATATAATATATATATTTATATATATAATATATATATATATAAAATATAATATCTGAAAAACCTATTATGTCATTGGTATATGGAAGCATACTTATATTGTTAATCACAAACTATAATTATAATTTTTAAATAAAAATCTAACCAATTTTTATTAAATGTTTTTTGGCAACAAAGCCTAATAACTGTTTTGCAAGTAATGGAATTTTCTGAAACATAAAGTTGTTACAGTCTACATAATTCTTTTGTATGCTCAATTGCGTAAAATCGATATTTACCTAATAAAAAATAACAAACTCTTCTCTTAATTCTATTTTTTTTCCTATGTTAAACATTTTTACATTATATAACATATATTTAATATACTAACCAATGCATCTGCTTTTAAATTCAAAAGAAGCTTAAAGTTTGGAATATCTTTGCTACCAGATTGAAAACTTTTCAACCTAAATTTAGAAGTCAATTTCCATTTATGGCACACTTCAGTCCATGGTTTACTGTTAAACTTTAGCCAATTAAGGTCATCTTGTACTGCTTCTTCTATATCAATTATAATATGTTTAAAAAATTGAACCAAAAATTCTTCACAATTTTATAAATATATATAATAGATAAAAAATGTATAAAAAATAAAATGTTTATCATTTCATCATCTTATAATATCTAAATATTCTAAACTTTCTTTTACATAAATCACTTAAACTACTATTTAAAATAATTTAGTATAAGATAAAGCATACCATCACTGCTATTGTGTTCTTCAACTAATTGTTGATCATTTGAACTTTTTAAAATCCCAACCGATTTAATATTTCGCCAAGTGTTGCGAAGCTTTTCTGTCAGCTTTCCACCAGCTATACTTTTTTTAAATGTAGGTGCAGTATACCATGTTTCCTATAAAAAAAAAACAATTATAAAAAGCACTTAAAAAAAAGGGGTTTAATTAAAAGTTACTTACAAGCTTTTCTGAAGGAAAATGTGCAACAATGGCATTTGCTGATTCAAATATATCTGCATTAGTTGGACGATTTCTAAAAAAATTTCAAGTGACTTCTACTTTAAAAGTAATTTGTCAATACTTTTTTATGTATTCACTTTCTTTATAGTAGCGCCTCCTCAACCTGTAGGGGGCTGTTCATTTTTTGATATCAACTCTTAATCCCAAAATAATAGCCTTCTTACAAAAAAAAAATGCAGCTTTACAAAAAAAAAGTTGCTTTGTAAAGAACAAAAAAAAGTGTAAACAAAAGTGGTTGATGTGGGACTGATGCTTGTAAAGAACCACCCCAAGTAGATAATTCTTCTACCTGATGAAAATTCTAATCTGTACTACCATGGCATATAATTAATAATAGATTGAAACATAAAATTACAATATAAAAATTATAAAAGTAATTAATAAATCTAATAATTTGTTTACTTACTGCAGACCTCTCTTTAAAATAATAACGTGGTTTACTACTATACCAGCCAACTTGTTACGTAGACTAAATGTTAGATTAGTAGCACTTAACACAATCATACCATCTGTGCAAGATTTTAAGATAGGGGCTAAGCCATTCTGTTAAATTCAAAAATCATATCCCAGGTTTACTAAGGTCAATATATCTTTTAGAACCAAAATTATTATACTTGTGATACAATCTAATAAATTATTCCAACTAAGTGTTAAAATATTTCTTTACTCATAAATTTCGAATATAGTAAAAAAAGTATATTAAAAAAAAATAATTGTAAAACCTCAAAGAGAGCACAACTTTTATTATGAACAATTGTTTTCGATGTAGAAATTACTTTATTAGTCAATACTGTATCTGGAAACATACAATGCTTTTTCAAAGGGCTCATGAAATCATTACTGCACTCATTGAAGCCTTTTTCACTTTCATTTAAAAAAGCTGGTTCTAGAATCAAAAAACATTATTATTCAGATCAGTTGCAAATAGTAATACTAGTATAACAAGTGTGAGAGAAATGTTAAGTTACTTAAAAAAATTTAGATAGTCAAGTAAACTCTTATATTTAAAAATTTTATTGAAAAAGTTTCAAATTTTTAATAAAAAAAATAACTTCCATAACCAAAAATTTTACCTTTAATGTTTAAACCACTCACCCTAAGTCCCTAACAACTGTTACCTTATTATAGGATAAATTGTACAATAAAAAAAATAATTATAATAGATACCAAGTGTAACACCTTCATTTTCTTTTGCATCATTTTGAGGCTCAAAGAACATGCTAGACATACTGGGAGAAGCTAAAAATTATTTATAAATAATAGATATATTTTTAGGAAAAACTTTATGTTAACTGTATTTAACTTAAAAACTAGTAACACACATTAATTTGGTTTTAACTATATAATAATTTACTATCATTTAGTTTTACCACTAACATATTTTAGTTAGGTGAAAAGCAAGATAAATCATTAAAAAAGTGTACTGGATAAAGTGTTCTGCATTGGATTGCTCTTTGTGAAATCAACTGACTGAACATCTTCAATAAGATTAAAACTATCTTCTACTAAAACATAAAAAAGAATTACATGTCAGTTATTTTTGTTTAAAAAAAAACAATACTAAGCATCAAGCTTCTACAGATACAAACTAATTGTATTTTATATATTATTGGCATAATTATATAGATTAAATAATTTTGATATTATTGTACATTTATGTAAAACTGGTGCATGATCACAATAAGCACACAAATCAAAATCTTTCTCTTTTGTGTACTCACAATCACAACTTGCTTTGAGACATTGCATTCGATTTTTTCCTTTTTTATCCTTCATTTTATATGACACTATAAAAAGGCAAATAAATGTTTATATTTTATGTTACATAACACATATAAAACTAGATTCACTTTAATATATAACAATTAAAACTTATTAAATTTAATAAATCTAGAAAAAATCAAAATATGAAGATATTTCATTACTTTAGTGTTCTATGCATTTTTTAGTTTATTGCATAAAATTAATTATATAATTGTTAAAAAAAGCAATCCTGAAGACTAAATGAATAATATATATATATATATATATATATATATATATATATATATATATATATATATATATATATATATATATATATATATATATATATATACATATATATATATATACATATATATATATATATATATATATATATATATATATATATATATATATATATATATATATATATATATATATATATATATATATATTAGGGTAGGTCGATTTTAGCTTTTTTTTTGAATTTTGAGTTGCGTAATGTTGCAGTAACTGTGTCTTGGTTAGAAATGAGGTTTTACCAAATCTCAAGTATCCTGGTTTAAAAATGGCTTGCGGATTTGCATTTTAAGTCTTAATTTTGGACTAGTTTTGTTAGATTGTTTATTTCAAACGTTGCAAAATTTTATTTTAAGTCTAGTAATCTCGTTTTAAAATATCTCGTTTTGAGTATATAAAGTAACCAATAAACAAGCGCAATTGTTTTAAGAAGCCAATAAAGTTTCGCTAAATCGTTTACACGCATTTAACTTTTTTGTATTTATATTTCTTGTTTGTATTTTAAAGTTGGTTTTAAGGTTAAATCTATTAAAAAGTAGGTTCAAAAATAAAACTGCAATTTAAAGAAATCTTTTAATATCAAAGGTAAATACTTATGGTTATTATATCTAGAGTAATGTTTTAAACTGTTTATATTACATAACTTTTGATTTGCAATTTCTGAAGTAGATTAAAATATAAAACTTTTCGATGGAACTAATGGTTTTACTCAATTCCTGAGTTTCCTGAATTCATGGCCCCCAAATCTTTTCAAAAGAGTTTTATTTCTTTATTTTTATCAAAGCAGGTTTTTAATAGTAAGTTTTAATATTTTAGGTTTTTTTGATGCATAGGCCCCCACTAAAAACTCACGCTGTTGCCCATTACTCTAAGTGTAATACTTTAATACAGTTTACATATATAATTAATTTACAAAAATGCCGAAAGTAAAGGTTGCAATTACACGGATGAAAAGTGAAAAAAAATATTGTGGTGGCCCTTGTGAACTATCAACGACAGATCCAAGCACTTTTAGACAGGTTATTCAGTATTATTACTATCTTATTCATATAAATCCAAATGCAGATATCTTATTAGTGACTCAGCAAATTAGCAATAATATAAAATCAATTTGGGCTACAGTAAACCCAAGATTACCTCTTATAACTGACAAATCTATTAATAGGAAAGTTAAAGATCTTCTCGTACTTGTTAAGGATATTAATCGCAAGCACGGAAAAGCAAGCGCTAAAAGAAATCTTGATGCAAACTTGGACAAACTTTTTGATATTTCTGCGTGTTCCTGTTCATTAGATGTGTTTCCCTGTAGTGACAGAAAAGTTTCATGTAATAAATAAAATTGCATCGAAGAACATATTGTATGCCTTTGTTCTCAAAGTAATAAAGTGCCTCTGGAAGACAGAGCTTATCTTCGTGATCAGA